TACCTGGGCCTTTGTAAAAAGTAATTGTTCCCTTAGTCACTAAATCTATCAATTAAACAAATTGCATTGATAATTGGGTTCAATTTCACAAGACAGACTCAGGCATGATTACTGCCAGCCCTGTGTAATCTAAACATCACTTAAATATAACCAGTCTGGCAATGTGAAGTACGCAACAAGCAGCCCATGATGGCGTGATGTAAAGAATTTCAAGTACAGAAGAGAGGCAACAATTAGCACATGATCCTCTAATAAGGATTTTCAAGGACAAATGAGAAAAAAAAATTGTGGCATCTATAATTCTGGAAAGGGTTACAAAGCTTTTTTTAAGGAACCTCGGTGAGAGCCATCATGTACTAATGGAGAACATTCAGAACAGAGATGACCTTTTCCAGGAGTGTCCGGCCACCAAAATTCCTTCAAGAACTCATTGACGACTGATCCAGGAGGTCTCAAAAGAACCCAGACTAACATCTGAAAACAATGCAGGCTCCTTTCACGTGAGTTAAGGTCAGTGTTCACGATTCCACAATAAGAGTGAGCCTGGGAAAAATGGCATCCATGGGAGAGCTGCAGGGCAAAAACCACTGCTGACCAAAAAGAACACTAAGGGTCATCCCACTTTTGCTTAAAAAAAGCATCATGAAGACTTATGGGATAACATTCAGTGGACTGATGAGTCAAAAGAGGAACATTTTGGAAAGCATGATTTCCCTTACATCTGGCATAAAGCTGACACAGCAGTCTGCAATATGAACATCATACAGTCAAACATGGTTGAGTGATGGTCTAGGGCTGCAACTTGCCGTGGTGACTGGATCCATGAATTGTACTCTCCACTAGAAAATCCAACAGAATGATGTTTGGCCATCAGTTTTTGACGTAAAGCTCAAGCACAGTTGGGTTATGCAGCAGTACAATGATCCAAAGCACACAAGAAAGTCCACCTCTGAATGGCTCAAAAAACTGAATGGAGGTTTTGGAGTGGCCTTGTCAAATCCAAACTTGAATAAAATTGAGATGCTGAGGCATGACCTTGAACAAGAAATTCATGCTCATAAACCTTTCAGTGTGGTCAAATTAAAACAATTCTGCGAAGAAGAGTGGGCCAAAATTTCTCCACAGCAATGTTAAAGACTTATTGCCAGTTGCTGCAAATCTTTGTTGCAGTTGTTGTCGCGAAGGGTGGCACAACCAGTTTTTAGGTTTAGGCGGGCAATTATCATTCACCTGGGTGAAATAGATTTAAATACCTCTTTAATAAATGAAATAATCATTAATTTTTTTGTTTACTCACATTGTCTTCATCTTATATTAAAATTAGTACGATGATCTGAAACATTTCCCCTTAATAAATGAAATCATCATTTAAAAACTGCATTTTGTATTTACTCGGGTTGTCTTTGTCTCATATTAAAATTTGTTTGATGATCTGAAACATTTAAGTGTGACAAATATGAAAAAAATAAGAAATCAGGAAGGGGGCACGTACATTTTCACGGCACTATCCTTGTTCTCAGCGTTGTGTGTGCGCCCTTTTGACCACTGCATCTATACATTGTAACTGGCTACCTTGTAAACAGTATTGGGTTTCCTGAAACAAAAGAAATTCAGGAGGCTATTTTAATACATTGTCAATTTACAGAAGCATTTACGCAGCGGGTTTGTCATTTCATTGTACTGACAATGAAAGTTTAAAGTTGCAGAGGCTGTCAAAAAGGGCATTAAGAAAAATATGCTTAACGTGGGGGTTCTTATTGTCAACTGAATTCCAGTGACAAGCAGCTGCTTAATATTGGAGTTGCCTAAATTACTGTAGTCGCCTAACTTATTTTAAAATAAAGTAAGACTACAAAAAAGGTTATCTGAGTGTTGGCCATTAATTTTCCAGGAAGAACTCAATGTAGGCTACATTGTAAACAGGCCAAATTAGTTTCAGTCGACTTCAAATTGGCCTTTGCAAGAAGATATATTTTCAATACAAATTATGTCTTATAAATATTATACATAACAATAATTTCATCAATTATAACAATCGTCCTAAGGAAATAGCCTGTATAATCTTCGTCATCCCATGATCACCATTATTATCTGAAGGACAAGCATGATCACGGAAGATTCTTTATTTCTTCCTCCATAAAGCACATAAATTTTGAAATTTGCAAGTGAAAAGGAGTCCTAGAACTATTGAAATGGCCTATGTGCTTAATTTGACGGCCTGCAGAAGCAAGTAGCCTAGTTTGTAATGTTTGTCAAAGTGAGAAAAATGATCAAACATTTTAGATATTTAACTATTACTTGCAGTGCAAGTGCGAGATTGTGTCATCTCTTTATGTGGTTCTGGTTAGTTGGGATGTGATGCTGTTTGTTGGAAGTTTTTTTCAGTGCAGTGTGTATTTTTTTTCCTAATGAAAAGTGGGGGGGACGGACCGCTGTCTTCTCAAAACTGTCTGGGACATATCCCCTGCATCTCCCGTACTTCCTGCACCCCTGGGATTAAGGGATATAGTTTGAAAAAACATATGCAGTCCATGCCAATTCTCTGTATATCTCTGGGAATCAGCTTTAAAATATGTTGTACGTCCCCCTCCAGTACAGTCATTTGATGTGTATAGCGACATAATTGGAGTAAGGAAGAACAACAAGCTATTTCATCATGGATTTCAAGTCTGTCCCTCAGGCAAGCAAAGGTGTGCACCCTAGATGTCGTTCAAATATAAAACTTTCTTGTTGTCTCCACTTGTATTGCAAACAAGCTGTGTTTCCAACAGCGAAAATGGCCCCCCGAAAGAAAAGTACAGAGGATTCAATGGACAAGGGTATGTTTTACAGGATGCTAGCTAGCTAATATGCCTCCTTTAACTTACCTTTCGATCAGCTAGCAAAGGTTTTCATTAGCTTGTGGTTGCAGGCAAAATAACCTTATAGTGTTTTGGCTCTCTCAGCTTCATTTATGTCAAGTAACATTAACTTTAGCTTATGGTTGTTACATGAGTTGTCTGGAGCTTGCTTTCAAGTGTAAAATCCATGAGTTTATTGGTCGTGACTTTGATAGCTGACTGTTTTTTTATCATTGCGTTGACATAAGAAAACTGCAACCTGGCAAGCTTTCTCACCTGTTTCTCCGTTGGTCGTCCTCTTTCCTCCAGCAGGGGTTCTGAAGGCGAAAATGAGTTTTGATTGACGCTAATTGCTTGAGTCAAAAAATGGACAATATGGCCTCGTCTTTTTGTTACCTCTGCCCAACAAAGTTGGAGGAGGTTATGTGATCATTACCATTTGTCTGTTGGTTGGTTTGTTGGTTTGTTTGTAAGCAGGATTACTCAAAAAGTTATGAATTGAGTTTCCTCAAATTTTATGGAATGACCGCATATATGCCGCATTTAGGCCGCATGTAGGCCAAATTCAAGTATATATGTGTGCATATACAGGGCATATAGGTCTCCTATATCGCTTCTATATATCCACATATTGGCCCTATATGTACATACAAGGTATATGTCTCCTATATAGCTCATATACCCAGTGGCAGGTTGTTTGTCATACCTATTGTATAGCTCATGTCTCACTTTTGCAACTGTCATACATGATGCCTAGCTCATATTTTTATTCTCAAGGTAATATCTGCATATTAGTCCAAAGTCCTTTAGAAGAAATAACAAGAATTTCACGCAATAACTTATTAATCGCATGTGAACACGTGAAATTGGCATCACATTTGATCCTAAATACATGTTGACGTGACAACGGCATGTTATGTGTAAACCAGTCATTATTAACTATGGCAAGTGAGAGGAGACAAAAAGCTATGATATCAACACAAATATCTAATACTATTTGTTACATTTTTTTTCCTCAAACATTAACAATAACAAGGTCATCAATTCTTTCTTGACCATACTTATTTCCATTCTATGAAGATTGAGTTGAGTATTGTGGAAGAGAAGGAAATGTAGAAAAAACAAAATGGTTTGATTATGTTTATTTCATCAATTAAGCATTTTTTCAAGTTTAAGTCACTGCCAGATTCACCACATTAGATAAAATTGGATTCACATCATTACAGCTCATACACATCCACTGAAAGGTAATACACTACATTGTTACATCCACCAAATGCAATGTTTTCTGTCTTGTCTGTAATGCAGTTTCTAGATGAATATGGCTCAGAGGTCATTAGTCTAAATGTAGCTAAATAAAACAAAAATAACAAAATAAAAGCACATAGAAGAACATACATTCAAGTAAAGATGCCTTTCAACAGTCATTTTCATCCCCACATCTATCTGAGCATTTCACTGTGGTTAATGAATTTGAAGACAAAGTCTACATTTCTGTTCACAGTTTTAATGAACAGACACTTGTCTTTTATTTGAGATGCTTGTATAGCAACTAAAGGTCCCAGACTTTTTCGCATATATGCGACATACATAAAATTGTACCTATGTGTACCTATAATATATGAAAACGGACAATTTTATATATGTCGCATATATGTGAAACCTATATGTGGCCTTATATTAAAACCTATATGTTTATATAGGTTCTTTCCGTGTGGGTACTTGCGCTCTCTGAGTGCAGCTCTAGTTGTATTTGTCGAATTTGCTGTAGTGGACATCCTAGTTACTCCAACTGGACATTTGTCTTGTAGTTCTCAAGAAGAAAATACTGCGAACTCTCACATTTGTATTCTTATTTGCTAGTAAGAATGTTTACTTTATATGTTGTGTTTGCATAGGCCAATGGCTATTCTATCACCCGTACTGTCAGAATTTGTCCTGAGCCAAGTGGCTCATCAGGCTGGTGTTTAACTGTGGCTTCTGCAGCATGCAGCAACTAAGAGTATTGTTAGTCTCCCTGGATGGGATGCTAGTTCATCGCAGGTTAACCCCCAGCCCTTAGTCAGGATTCCCCTACAATTTGCCGGTACCCAATTTTACACCTGGGTGGAGTGAGGCACTGTGGGAATGAAGTGTTTTTGTCCGAGAACACACGACAAAAGCCATTGCAAGGACTCAAACTTGGAACCTTTTGATCCCAAGTCACGTACGCTAAACCACTGCACCACTGCGTCCCCCATATTGTATTTGCAGGTAAGGAGTGTAAAATTACACTCTTACACTCAGTTTTTGGCCTTTATTAGCTTCATCAGTCCTCTGCAGTAAAATGAACAATGTTTTTATGCAATACCATAACAGCTGGATGTCACATATCCACACAAAGTTAAAGACCTCTGAAATAGTGAGCTAATACAGTGCATTGTGGTTGTTGTTATCTTTACAGCAAATGCATTGGGAAGCCATCGGGGTAGTAAAAATACAAATATCTTGAGCTGGTGTCGGAAACTGTCCACGGTTTGTGTGCAACTTACATACTCAGAACCTACACTCTGAAACTGTGTTTTGCCCTTTCAAACAAAGTTAGTCAATGTATTTTTCTTGGCCAAATCTCAGCCTTAGTGCTACTATGCCAGAAAATGGAACACAGAATTAATTAATTCAATATATTATTATTACTAATAACAATTAGTGTTGTTAAGCAACATAGACGCAAATGAAGACATTGAGGTTTTTTCATTTAAATAATAACATTCTTCCCCCCAATTTTTTCTTTGTGTGCTATAAATCATCTGAACTTTAAACTACTCTTACATTTAAAGCAAATGAATATGAGTGAGGAGAAATTGATTTTGATAGAGCTGCAAACATTTAAGTCCTTCAGTGTGGTCAAAAGAAGAATAAAGTCACTTAAATCATAAGTAGATGTAATGAGCTTGAACAAAAAACAGAAAAAATGTTCATTGCTACCTTTACCGGTTTTGAATAAAGGGCAGCTCTTTTGTGCTGTATGCTGTCAATCAATCAAGAGTTTCTCTCCATAGTACAAAGCAATGTATCCTGAATGTACGGATCATGAGTGTCAAAGTATATCAGTTAACAAATACATTTAGTAAAACTGCAAAGAAAACTATAGAATCTAACATAAAAGGTCACTGCAGCCTGTAATAAGTGACCTTGCTGCAGGTTTATGCTCAGAATGACATATTTAAACATTGCAAGCAACTCAGAACTGAAGCTTGGATCTTATGCTGCGCTCCTTTATGAATGGTGGTGATTGCTTGCCAGTGCAGTTGTGCCTTTAAACAGAATAACTCATGATAGCTGTTGCTGACACTGGCCTTGGAAAGCCTGTCAGACATTTTTCCTTATGGACCTCTCCCCAATTATTCATGCTGTCCTCCTTGGACGAGAGTAACCAGTTTTTTTTTCTGCTTACAGACCTTTTTTGAGGGTGACTGGAGAGAGATGCTAAATCTACTGAGTTGATGGGGATATTGTTGCAAGACTCAGCCGAAAAACAGTTTTTTCAGGAGTCAGTTTTTTTTTCTTTCTTTGAAGTGTTCCCCTGAAGTTGCGAAAATGGGACACTACTGAGAGGGACATTTGTGCCGAAATTCAATGGGACAGTGAATTTCAGTCATAAATTTGCAATATATATGTCAAAATTATTACTTATCAACCAACTGTTCAACATGTTGGAAAAAAACAGTGCTTCAGTCACAGCATAGTTTTGCGCTTTTTACATATTGGTTTGAGCCCCTTCAAGTGTCCTCACTTATGGTCGCGTTTCCCTACTTCTATATCAATTTATTTGGTTTCTCAAGTGAACAAAGTCCGGCTTTATATAACCCAATGAGCTCTAATTTGATGACCTTATTGTATTCAGGAAACACAAGTGGTAATGATATTGCAGATTAAAACTGGACATGTCTAAGTCAATTCAGGTTATTTTTGATAGGAGGCGATAGCGCAACTGTGCGTTGTTGCCAAAAGGTTTGGTCAAAGATGACTTAATTACCTGTGGGTCTGTTGGGGCTTTGGTTCCATTACGACCAATTAGATCTGCTGCTGTCATTCCCTTTAAAACCAGTTTGTTATCCTCAAGTGAAGACCAAGCACCTGGCTTATTGCCTCCTCTGATGGTGCTCTGAGAACTGCGCTCCAATGAAGTATCTAGGTCAGTGATGTGAGGCAATAAGGGAAGCAAAAACTGGCGTCAATCAGGCGGGAGGCCAGATCCAGTGAAAGCAGGGAATCCACAGTGAGCCCAGCATGCCAGCGGAGGACATAATTGCCTCGCCCTTCCCTCGGGGCCCAATTCACCAGGTAATGTGTTTCGTATGAAAAAAAGTGGGCCATTTAAACCATATACAAAACATCATGTGGTATTAAAACAAGGGTAAGAATGAAGTTAATTCACCTTTCACTAAGCCCCGCCCCCCTTTGTTATTGTTGCTAAGTCCAACAAAACTTCAGTTTCAACATGGCGTTTTTGACAGCTCTTCCAGCTGAACTGCTGTCGGGCTTTTACAAAGCAGCAAATGCGGTTTCAGACAGGAGTAGACAGAAAGGGTTACAGTATGTTCATACACAATGTAGGAAATTTGGACTTGAACCCATAGACTGATTTATACAGTCTATGCTTATACCACGGCATTAACTATAATGTATCAGCTGACGTTAGCTAGGGGGACGGCTGTAACATTACTTATGTTTTCTAGCTGCTTAACTTAGCTAACGGGTTAGGTGGTTATGAGAGTGTAATTTTAGATTCAATGTTTGCTTGCTAATATTTGGGGAACTGTCAGGTCATCACTCTCCACAATCAATAGTCAGAGGTGATTTGTTGCGATGACTGTGCCTTCTGAGCGGTATTACTTCATGGCCCAGGAATTTAGCCGATCTGAATAAATGACTGCGTTTACATGAACACCATATTCCTGTATTAATCGGAATATGAGAATATTCCGATTGCGTACCTGTCATGTAAACGCGTGCAATAACCCGATTAAGGTCATTTTCCAATTCTAAATATTCCGAATAAGACCCCTGGCATATGCCTGTTTTAATCGGCATATTGGGTCATGTATACACCTTAATCGGAAAATGCCCTCGAACAGAATATTCAATTACGTCTGCGCCTGTTCAATTCGCAAGGAATTAGCATTTTTGGAGGGAAGAGGAGACGACTGTGTGCATTCAGATAATGAAAGACATGATTATAATGGAATATATCGATGGGCGAAAGCACCGTAACAACGATATCTTTAAGGTGTGCGAAAAGTGGAGAGGGGCTGGTTTTGTGTGAACTGCCAACCAAGTTAAGCATCACTGGAAAACTCTGAAGGCGGCATATTCCAAAGCGAAAAAAATACAGGCAATGGCTATTTTTACGCACACCCCCCTCCAACCTCTCTGGGTAATGAGTGTCAGTCTTACAAGTGCCCCAGGCACAACGTTTAACCATTACCATGTTATAGTCCACAAAAACGAGTGTCGAAAAGTACAAAAATTTGAGACGCCTGCGCTAGATTCAATGGAGCGCTGTCATGATTATGAAAGTGTCGGAGTTCAGTCGGAGCCAGTTGTTGGCTCCGCTGTGATTGGCCAGTCTGCATTCTAGGGCGGGGCTTAGTGAAAGGTGAATTGTTTGTATTGCCAATCCCCCCCACCCCCCACCCCGACACATACACACACACACACAAAAACACGTGTCAAAATACTCCCGTACCCTATTAGACCCCATCACTATTTTGCAGGCATTATTTACGTACTGAAAGTGAAAATTTCAAAGGAAGGAAAACAATATGAGCGACGTATGTCTATTTGCAAAGAGCTGCACTGGCTGGGATTCAGTCCCATAAAACTGTTCACTGTTTACTGGTTGCTTGACTATCTAGGGTTGTGGGGGTACTGCCCTGACAAAAGCTTTATTGGCTGACTCCTCCTCTGGCAATCATGGGCAAGGGCTTGGGTTGTAGCAGTGCTTTTCCCAGACGTCTTGGTGATGTTGTCAACTTGATTTCATGTGATGTATACAAATTGGCTTCTATTCTTGAGTTACTGTGACTTCGTCCGTGGACTCTGGACCTTATTGGTTGCAGCCATATTTTTATAGGAGACATTTAAAGGTGTTGATGAACGTTACTCGAGGTTCATTCAACTCTGGAGCAGTAATTGCAGTAAATTTGTCTCATAGATTGCTGTATTTTTATTTATTTTATAGCCGAGCTGTATAATTGCTTAATTCTCCAAAATATACAGAATAAGAACTCAATAAATGTAAATTTTTAACATGTTATTTATTTATTCATTCATTTGTGTGTTCATTTTATATTTGATGCGGTAATCAAGCAACTAAGGCTCAATTTTGCATCCTGATATGGTTGTAAATTATAGGGATGATTTGCCTTGTAAAATTTATACTTATATTTGGCCTATTACATTGTCTGTGGCAAGGTTGTTGCTGTTGATAAATGCAGTTCTTGAAATCTCAAATGAATCACACATAGCTGAGTTATTATAAGTGCATTTTTACATTTCATATTTTCTAAAAATGTGCATAATCTATCATGTATTATGTGTAGTATTTCAGACCAATTTTAGGCCTCCCTACCTGACGTTATCTCTCACTGTCTGGCTCTCTCTCCATCCATCCCTCCCCTATTTCACCTAATGTTGCTGGCCACATTGATGAGGGTGGAAGTGAGCGTATTTAAAATGTCAGCCGCAGACTGACAAAGGTCATATGGAAAGTAAGTAGCTCCCTTCACTGCTCCCTCAGACTACTAAGCAGAAGTTTCACTCTGAATAGGGGCCTGTCAAATAAAGCTGCATGTGGAACATTTCCTGGGTGGTGGGGCCCATCCGGGCTCATTCCCCTGTACGTCAGACCACTTTCACTGGTCACCTAGAGCACTTTGCGCCACGGTCCACACACTAATTAAAGAGAAGAATGGAGACCTAAGCTTCATTTGTCCCAGTGAACTTGCATTTGGGTGTAGATTTCCTGTGTGTAACTTTCATGTTCATTGCCATTCATCTTCATCCAGTCTGCTGCATGCTATTCTCAGTGGTCCCTTATGCACTGACAAATCACTCTATCCCGCAGTGGGGCAGCATGACTGATCTGGAAATCAGATGAGGATAATGTTATGCATCTGGATATGAAAGCCTTGTCAGTTCAAATACATGATTCCTTTTCAGGTAAAGATACCCCGTAGTATTCCTTGCA